CTTCACTTGGGTGTTAACTAATGTCTACGGTCCCAATAATTATAGAGAAAGGAATGACATGTGGGAGGAACTGTATGCAATTCAAGGTTTATGGGAAGGTCCATGGTGTTTGGGAGGGGATTTTAATGTGATAAGATTTTCTGAAGAAACTAATAACTCCCAACAAACCATCACAACTAGCATGAGAAAGTTTWATAGCTTTATTGCTGATTGYGAGTTAAAGGAGATCCCACTAGTGCAAGCTCGATTTACTTGGTCTAACTTACAAGAAGTGCCCCTGTGGTCGAAGTTGGATAGATTTATCTTTAATGTTGATTGGGAGAACTATTGGGGAAATTTGGTGTCTAGAGCTTTGCCTAGGGTGACCTCGGATCATTGTCCCATAAGAATAGGTGTGGAAGATTTTATCAGTGAACCTAGACCCTTTAGGTTTGAAAACATGTGGCTAACCCACCCGGATTTTGTGAATAAAGTAAAATTTTGGTGGAATGAAGAATTGAGGGGGACAAAATGGAAAGGGGTAAGATTTCACAAGAAACTAYAGAGRATAAGAGCCAAAATAAAAGTTTGGAATAAGGAACATTTTGGAAGACTTGAGGAGCAAAAAGTGAATCTAATCTCTAGGATAGAAGAGTTGGATGAAAGAGAGGATCAATCTAGAATGGAGGAGGGGGAGAGATTTCTGAGGGGACCTAGAAGAGGTCCTATTGAGGGAAGAAATAAGCTGGGGGCAGAAATTGAGATAGATGGATTAAGGAAGGTGATGGGAATACTAAGTTTTTTCATGATGTAGCAAATGGGAGGAGGAGAAAAAATTTTGTGTCTAAGTTAGAGGTAGGGGGGAGGAATTCACTAACCAGGATGATATTGCTAGGAAGTTTGTGGAACATTTCAAATCGATTTACAGAAGATCCTTAGAAGAGAGGAGGGAAATCGAAGGGATTGATTGGTCAAGGTTGGAGGAAGATCAGGTTAGGTGGTTGGAAAGAAACTTTGAGGAAGAAGAGATTAGGAAGGCGGTGTTTTTGATGGATAGGTCCAAAGCTCCAGGACTAGATGGTTTTACAATGGCTTTTTACCAGGATTGTTGGGAGGTGATAAAAGATGATCTTTGTGAGGTTTTTAATGAGTTAACAGAGAAGCATATAGTCAATTGAGGCATTAATTCAACATTCTTGGCCCTAGTTCCAAAGAATGCTGATGCTCTCCATCCTAAAGATTTTAGGCCAATTAGTTTGGTGACTAGTATTTATAAAATCCTGGCCAAGGTCTTGTCTTTAAGGATTAAAGAAATCCTCCCCTCCATTATTAGTCAGGCTCAAGGGGCTTTCATCCAAGGGCATCAGATAATTGATCAGATTTTGATTGCCAATGAATGTGTGGAAGAGATGAAGAGGTCCGAGCAAAGAGGCTTTGTTTGTAAGTTTGATCTGGAGAAAGCCTATGATTTGGTGGATTGGCAGTTCCTACTAGAGGTTTTGAGGAAGTGTGGGTTTGGGGAAAGATGGTGTAGTTGGATGATTGGTTGTGTTAGCTCTTGTCACTATTCCATCCTAGTAAATGGGGTAGTGAGGGATTTTTTTTCCAGCTAGTAGGGGAATCAGACAAGGGGACCCACTTTCACCCTTCCTCTTTACCTTGGAGAGTAGGCACAAACCGAATTCCAGTCACTCAACTTTAGTTTGCAGATGACTTGATGACCTTCTATGAGGGAGGTTTCGGTGAGAAGGTGGAAAATTTGAAAGAATTGATTACAATTTTTGAAGGAGTCTCTAATTTGAAAATCAATCTAGGAAAAAGCTGCATAGCCAGAGTAAATTTAGTTTTTGAGGAGGTTGAGGCGATTGCAGGCTGTCTTGATTGCTCCATTTCCTCCTGGCCTTTGTCTTACTTAGGGCTTCTGTTGGGAGCAAACCCTAGGGAGAGTAGGTTTTAGACCCTAGTCTTGGAGAAGTTAGAAAAGAGACTAGTTGTTTGGAAGAAAAAATTTATCTCTTTGGGTGGGAGGATCACTTTGATAAAAGCTACCCTCATGAATCTACCTACCTATTATCTCTCTGTCTTTAGGATACCGTCTAGGGAACCGAAGAAGTTGGAAAAATTGATGAGAGATTTTCTGTGGGAACCGTGAGAAGGTAAAAAAGACCATTTAGTTAAGTGGGGGGTTGTGGGTAGAAGCAAAGAGGAGGGAGGATTAGGGCTCGGGAATGTGCTTAAAAAGAACTCGGCTTTGTTAGGGAAGTGGTTGTGGAGATGGCCTTTGGAGCGGGATAGACTTTGGCACAAAGTAGTGAAGAGTATTCATGGATGTTTAGAGAGTGGTTGGGATGCTGGTGCATCAAGGAGGGCTAACCTAGCCACACCTTGGAAAGCAATTCACAAAGTTCTTCCATAGTTCCTTAGATGTGTCAGGTATGATGCTTGTTCAGGTAATTCTATTCGGTTTTGGGAGGACATTTGGGTTTGAGATCTTCCTCTGAAAGACCTTTTTCCTTCATTGTACTCTATTTCCTTGTATAAAAATGAGGTGATCTCAAAATTCCTTCCGTCGAATTTATCCTTACCAACTTTGTCTTGGGATTTTGGTTTCCGTAGAGGATTAAGGGATGAGGAAATTGAGTGTTTGTCTACTCTTCTATG